TAGTTAGCCGGATGTCCACTTCATTGTGTGGCCAACTTTCTCACAGTCCCTTACAGTTTGTTTACAGCCACCAGTCCTGGCTCTTATTGCTTTGTGCTGATATTTAGCTCTAATTTACCCCTAAATGTCTTCTAAGAGCCCAGTAAGCAGTGGAAGTGTTGGTAATGCTGCTAGATAATACTGACCTCTCATGGTCCAGCAAATTCGCTGGTTCAGCACTGGTAAGGTCCCAAGGGTGCCAGACTAGAGAAGGTCAATGCGTAGTATAAATCAGAGCATTATCAGCAGTGAGCATTGCAGATAATATCAATATAGAAAATATTTAGTGTAAAATCACTGTCTGTAGACAGAATTCAGGGAAGAAATGAATACTGAAATCTTTCTGCTTCGGGCAATACTTTCTGAATAGATAAACTAAATAGATTGATCTCTTGAATTCTCTCACTTGAAGGCCTTGTTTCCCACGTTAGAATAATTTTTGTGATTCTTCAGCATTCTCTTCAATTTTCAACATCATTTTAAAAAATGTGAACACCAGAACTAGAGGCAGTATTCCAGTAGGGTGGTTTCACTTATAGCATATGCAGAGGCAAAATCACCTCCCTAACTCCTACTACTTTTTCGAGTGGGGTCCCCGTGGGTGCTCCACTGTAGATGTCAGGCTTGTCCTGGTGCCGCAGATTGGAGATTGATCAGCAGTGGTCTGCCAGACCGTGCATGCGTGTTAGGCACCTCATGCTGTTCACACCGTTTCTTAGAGCGTGCAATCCAGCTCCCGCCAGTTCCTCCTAACCGTCCTCGGTCACAGACGGAGTGAGCTCCCTCTCATCAGATCCTGTCAGAAGTTAAACAGTTGTTATTTAATCATTGGATAGGTAATTGTAGTGTTAATAGTTCTTAGTTTAGTTAATCTTAGCAGTATAATCTAAGATTATAGCTGTTTTAAAAAAAAAGCAAAAGAAAGGACAGATGTCGCAGTACTGCGCATTTTTGTTTGTTTGCTTGCTTTTTAAGGAAGAACAGAGAGAAAAGAAGAGAAAATCACCTGAGGAAAACCATGCTGGGATCACCCCATTTAAAAAAAATGTGACACTTGCTAGGAACTCATGCCTGCTTCAGATGGGCACTCCCGCTGTATTAGGTGTCTAGGTGAGGGGCATATCCCACAAAAATGTCCTCTCTGCTTCACGTTAACAGCACAAGCACAAAGGGACAGGGAGATGAGGCTCAAAATGCTTTTATTTAATAAAGCACTACTGCCTTCATAGACAGAGCCCTCCCTGCCCAGATCGGACTCTGTTAGAGCCGAAAAGCACTGGGCTGTCTCGCCAGGGCCTTGTACTCTTGCGAAAAAGAGGCCCTCTCCAATTTGCTCGCTGCCACTGACTCGTATTAGCATCAGAGATAAGCCAAGCACTTCAGGGATGGCTCCTACTTGCCATCTGGATAAAGCGAAACCAAGCCATAGCACATCGGCACCTAGGCCAAGCCTACCATGAAAATTGCGAACTGCGGCACCGCTACCAGTCTCGGGGCCAGATTTGACACCTACAATTACAGCTGCACTGTCGGTGCAGTGAGCACAATTGGCACCGCTAGCACAAGATACACCAGCAACGTCTTTGGCACCACAGCCGGCACCGGCATCGCAGCCAGCTCTGCAATCAGCACCGGCACCGCTGTCAGCACTGACTAGATTTCACACAGTTCGTCGCGTGTAGCCGCGGGCACGGAGTCCGCACTAGTGGACATTTAAAAATGGCAGCGCCCGGCAACATGCAAATGAAGCCTGGGAAATTCAAATCCCGGGCTTCATTTGCAAGTTCGTATGACTACATTAACCACCCTAATTCGAACTAGGGTGGTAGTTTAGACATACCCTAAGGGTTTTCCTGGTTCTACTTGTAGGTTACAGGACATTGAGGGACACATGCAATCTGAGTGATCTTGGGCAGTCTGAAAAGAACCATCTTGGAGCAGCCTGTGGTGTACCTCAGTGGGCTGATTGGGTTTTGTTTCTTTGGGGAGTGCTTTCTGGGGAGAGAATGATGTGTGTGTTGTGTTATAGTTATAGTTCTGGATATGAAGGTTACTCACTTTGTGCAGTAACTGGAGTTCTTTGAGATGTGTCCCTGTAGGTCCTCTACACTTGGTCTGGGTGCTGTCCTGGCACCTGGATCAGAGATTTTTCCAGCAGTCCTGCATAGATCGTGCACGTGCGTGCCATCACAGTATGCCATGGTGGTCTAAACCACATGTGCACATTCAAAGCCTTCCAGTTCTTCCTGTATATCAGAGGCCACCATCTCCAAAGCAGAGGAGAAGAGGGTGGATAGTGGAGCACCCACAGACACATTCATCTAGAAGAATGCCATTGAGTGCACAAGGTGAGTAATCTTCACTACTGCTGTGAGAGATATCCTGGTAGGTGCTCCATGCTTGATAACTAAAGAGCAGTTTTCCCCTAAGGAAACTAGGGGCTTTGGAGTATGTCACAATGCTGAAGAGAGCATGACACGTTCTTCTTCAAGGAGTGTCCTTGTGGATGCTGCCGGTGTTGGTCGGAACCACAGTTGCTCTCCAGCTTTTCAAACTTTATCTTGTTCTTGCAGATAGTAGTGTGTGTTATAGGGTTTGTATTTAGTAATAGTAGTAGTTTTTTCTAGTTACAGTTAGTTGTATTTTTTAAAAGAGAGAGACTTCTATTGTTGTTAAGGCCATTTTTTGCCTTAGCAATTTTTTTTTCCCCAGGATGTCTGGTTCCCCAGGATTCAAATGCTGCCTCTCCTGCAGGCTCTCAATTCCTGTCTCCAGCACTCACAGTGTGTATGGTGTCTGGTGCAGACACACGCTACCTCTCAGTGCCGACACTCTAAGCAGTTAACGGCCTGCACGCACAAGGGAAAGGAGCTCCAACTTAAACTTCTCTCACTGGAGAATACAGTGAGGCCAACCTCAGACCCAGAGCACTCTACTCCACCTTGACAGCCCTGTTTTCCCACCTCTCCCCTAATTCTTGAGTGGTGGACTTGGTCCACCACAGGGGAAAACAGAGCCCAGCTAGAACCCTGCCGTATGATAAGGAGTGGAAGCGCCTAGATCTCATGGGTAGGAGAACATATTCCTCTGCATCATTACAATTGCATATACCCAACTACATGGCAATGCTCGCAAAATGTACGCATCATATCTTCACGTAACTTTCACATTTTATTGACAGCCTTCCTGATGACAAGAAGGAACAGTTCAGGGCAGATATCAATGAGGGCACCCTAGTCTCTCGTACGGCTCTGCAAGTGGCCATAGACACATCCGACCAAGGAACCTGGTCAATTGTGAATGCTGTTCTGATGAAAAGGTCACCATGGCTACCCCTCTCCAGTTTGCCCTGTAAAGTACAGGTCACAGTTGAGGACCTGGAGAGATGGTACATGTGTCTATAAGGGCATGCTTATCTGCTATAGTGCCTCTTACAGGATCTCCATGGGCTCTGGTATTGCCAGTGTGAGGGATATGGCATGAGCAGAGGTATATAGAGATGCCCATACCACGGTGGTTCCCAGGGGGTAGACACTGCCTTTGGGGATGGATGTCTGGTGGAGAGAACTGGTGAGGAGAAAAGATAGCCTCATCCCCATCATCATCTTCACTTGAAAAATGGGATGGTGCCAGAGATACATAATGTGGTGTAGATGGTTTAGGAGAGACATCGGTACCAAAGAGTGGAGATTGTGGCATTGAGGCAACTGTAAAATCAGCGTGACTCATAAATGGTGGTGGTACCAATGATAATGGTGCCACCGTATTTGAAGTTGTGAGTGGCAATGGTGTTGAGTGTGGTGCCGGAGTCGTTGGTGCCATTGTGGTAATGGTCTGTTTGGCAGTCAGTGCTGTTGTTTGGTGGTCAGTGTTTTGGCAGTAGCGGTCGATACTCTCGCTGTGGGTGGCACCATTGGTGCTAACTTTGAGGCAGGCGGTTCGGCACTCTTAGGCTTGGTACTGGTATGGTGGGTGCTGGTCATAGCAGCACTATGACTGGAGGTGCTGGGACTCAGGAGTGTCATAAGTGCTCACATGAGACACTCTGTGTCGCTGAGCAAGATCTTGTGACTGACCATTTCTTAGCATTAGGGTCCCTCCTCTTCTTTGAGAAGGCTTTTGAATTCAAGGCGGCTGGAGGTGAGGGAGCCAGAGTAGGCTGCTTACCAGGGTCCGAGGCTGGACAAAGGGATCAGTACTAATTTCAGTGTAGTGAGCAGAGATGGTCGCTCACTGACCCAGACAGGGGAGGAACCCATCTCCCAGCCTGGATGGACAGAGCCTGGTCCTGCCCCTTTAAATCTCCAGAAGCCAAGGGACAGGGCAAATAGTATAAAAATCCAGCCTAGGAGCTCAGTAAGGCCCCAGCCACTGGAGGAGAAAGAGGCTTGTCCTAAGCTCCTGAGCAGGAGCACCACTGATGACCTTGCTGAAGCTGAGGACTGCCCTGGACTGCTGAGCCCCCACACAGAAGAGGAGACCTTGGCAACCCTGTAGGAGGGTACAGTATCCAATAACCCCCAGAACCTGCAGCAACTTATTTTGGTGAAGGTATAAGCATGAAAATAAATTTTGGACTCCTGTTATAATTGCTTGTCTATTGCCCCCTTAGTCTGTTCTTCCTGAGGTTGTTAATGGTTATCATGGATAAACATGACTGTTATAGTCAGGCAGTTTAGTTAAAATGGAGTCTCTGATGGGTTCCATTTTGTGTGACCATGAAAGCAGGGAAAGGAGTTTTCCTGCCAAAGCCAGTGTTTGCACTCAGTCTTCTTTTGCACCCCTCTCAAACGTTGTGCACTTAGCTCCCTAGAAGCTGCACAGCCCTTCACAGCTGCACACCATCCTGTGGAATCTATGCACACGTCACCGAATTATGCACTCAGCACCCATGGACCTTTTCCCGTCCAAATGTTAATAAAACCCCTCTGTTCAGTTCCATTCGGGTTCGCTTGGTTCACTTGTTGTGAGTGAGTTGTTCGTTTGTCTACTCCGTCTGTCTGTGTCTATGTATGAGTGAGTGAGATTGGTTGAGTTTTATCATCTTCATGAGTGTAGTAGTGTGGCCTCAGCTGTATAGCTATCCCGTGGCCACAAGTCCCATGTTTTGGGTTGAGGCTAGGGATAGTGGCAGTTAGACATTTACATCACCGCCACCACCATTTTGGACTTAGTGAATGTACTGAAGGGTTATTCGCCCCTGGATACAGTGGAGAGCTACATTCCAAGAGGTCAAGGATTCCTGGACGGTCCTGTGTCGGAAAGGCCTGGATACCAGTTTTGAGGGATCTCCTCACTGATCTTCCGCTAAAGCTTCACACTAGCCACAGCATTGTAAGTCGTGAGCAACGGCTGTACATTAATAATTTGTAATGTATATTTCCTTTTGTTTGAGGTATTTTCTGTCTTCTTTCTTCTAAGTTTAGGGTGGGTTTGTATTTCTGTTTGTCATTTCCTGTGTATGCTGTTTTTGAACAATTCTGACAATATATGGTTTGGCCCTAAATTTGGTGTCTGCTTGTTTATTAAAGAAATCATCGGTGACAGATACAGATTTATAGGCGTTCCTCGCTTCTAAATCCAGGGACATATAACAACTTTAGTCCGAGCAAGCCTACTTTATTCTTAATTAAGTTAAAATTAAACATTGCAGCGTTCCCTGTGCAACATTAAGGAAACACTAACAGACATAGATATAACTTCCTGATAAAGTAATTGACAAAAGGCAGTATTCTTTCAAAAACCAAAGTTACCTTTTTATTGATATAACTAATAATCCCCAATACAGTGTATCCTAAAAATCCTAAAGGAGGCACACAATTCCTGAGACATGAATCCCTTATTGCAAGTTAAAGAGCACTTAAGCTATAATAGTATATAGATAAAAGATTCTAAGTAAAGTAATTTATTGTAAGTGGGCAGTTTGCAACAAATTGCTGACAGATCTTAAATTGCTTTGAAGTGTACATGGATGTTTTGCAATTAATAGACTTTTATGCATTCTTATAAACACACACATACTAACTCTACATACTATCCTGCACAAAATATTATACGAAATTATAAATCCATTGCTGCTTCCTGTTGCTGTCCAGTTCCTGGTTAGTCAGCTGTACTTCACACCAGGTTTCTTTAATTTCTCTCTGCAGCAGTTTTTCTTTGGCTTCTCTTGATCTTCCTCCGTAGCACTTTCCTTCTCAGACACAGATTTCCTGACTAAATCATCTTCTCTTTGCACCATCTGATTGCTCTACTAAGTGTCTGGCTTTATGTACTGCTATTGGTTGTCAGGTCTTTGCCTAAACATGGTTTGGCACATGCTCAGGGTTGTGGTTTCCTTCAGATTTATAATTCTACCAATCCCTATACACACTGGCTGTGTCTACACTGGGCCACTTATTCCGGAAAAGCGGCTGCTTTTCCGGAATAAGCTGCGAGCTGTCTACACTGGCCGCTTGCTTTTCTGGAAAAGCAATGACGATCTACTGTAAAATTGTCAGTGTTTTTCCGGAAAAACTATGATGCTCTCTACATTGGCCACGGACGCTTTTCCGGAAAAAGTGCTTTTCCGGAAAAGCATCCTGCCAGTGTAGACGCGCTTTTTCCGGAAATACTTATAACGGAAAACTGTTCTGTTTTAAGCATTTCCGGAAAAGGGTGCCAGTGTAGACGTAGCCACCTGGTTTCTGCCAACAGAACTGAATTTTTCACCCTGACTTAGTATTGAGCTTGCTCAAGGTCTGAAGCATCCATCTCAGGATGGAGTAACTTTAGTTTATTCAGAATAAAGATTTTAGGAAACTAAAATGGTGACTGGAAAATTTCTTTTGTAATACCTACACCTCGTTTCTGCCAACAGAACTGAATTTTTCACCCTGACTTAGTATTGAGCTTGCTCAAGGTCTGAAGCATCCATCTCAGGAAAATTTCTGTTGTAATACCTCGAGGCAGCCATCCCTTAACCCAGATTAACTACTCAGTTTTTATTAAGGTGTAGGGTAGGCAGGGCCTTGCTGAAGCTGTAGTCTATGTTATATCACCATGAAGTTCTCTATGACAGCTCTTACAGGAGAAGGAACCAAGGGCATTTTTTAGGACCTTTGAGCTGAACCTTGGCTGCTGCATATTGAGCTCTTTCACCTCTGAGCCCTTCTGGAAGCCCGCTAACACCTCCCCCCAGTCCAAGTTCATGTCCATTTATGATGACTCCCAAGATGTCACGAGAGGAAGTGTGGGTAAGTAGCCTATGCAAATTAAGCTCTTTTCCCTTTCTCCCACAGAAAAATTATAGAGTACTTCCCCCTTTGGAACTCCTGGCAGTAAGACTTACACAACCTGGAGTAAGTTTAGCTCAATATGTGTCTGAGGCATCTCTGAACTGCTTTTGTAAAAACTTGGTGACCTTCAGACAATAACTGAGGTTTTCTGCTTTAAAAATAATCCTCCTGGATTGTGTTGTGTGTTACTCTTCTGACAAGCAGATTCAATGTGACAATGGCTGCAAAGAATCACTTGCAGTTTAAAAAAAATATGAATATACATATTTTTTCTAAAAAGCACAACTCTGCCCAAGCTACAACTGTGTTGGAACAATAGTTCCCACCCTGTCCTTTACCATTCAGGTCCCAAATTTTTCTTTCCTACAGCAAGGAGGGAAGAGAGAGTATCCCTTTTCTTCTCCATTCTCATCCCACCCAAAATGTTTGTCACACTCCTGAAGGCACTGTCCTCTTTTTCACTTTAAACATACATACAGCAGCACCGGAGGCTGAGACAAGGGACACTGACTACCTTCAGCCCTACAAGTTAATTTGGGTACCAGCTTATTAGAGAATAGCAGCGTCTGAAGAACTGACAAAAGCTCATGTTGAAACCTCATCAATTATTTAATTCCTATTTCTGTGTAGAGGCACAGACTCTGAAAGTGTTTGTTCCAGAAATATGTAGAAGTAAGATTAATTATTTAGTGGGGAAGTTATGAGTGTCCCGATTAAATAATGCATTTATAAAATATAATTTTTCTTTAGAGTATAAATGAATAATAAAATTGTAATCTGACCAAGACTGAAACACAGACATTTTTAAAGAGCTTTGCTTCAGCTTATGTAGTCTTGGAGCAGTATTGACTTTGAAATATTGTCTCACAGGTTTCCTCATATAAAAGTTTCAGTCTTTTTTCAACAACATGGTGAGAAAATTCCTAACTGTCCAGTTAGATGTGGTCAGATAATCCCTGTAGATTTTACGGTTCTGATTGGGTAACCCTCTAAATTCCACAGTCACAAGTGGGTGGTGCTGTTGTACTGAAGGGTGAATGCTTGTATTGTCATTGTTTTCCTGTATTCCATCCTGCTCCAACTGGATAATTCCTGCCTGAACCTCAAAATTGCATTGGTAAGGCTGAAGGGAGAATGCTTTTGCAGGGCACAAGGAAATATGCCATTTCTCTCACTTGTGGTTTTGAATGAAATGCTGGATTATAGGGGCTACCCCAAATTGAGCCAACACAGTAGCTTGGTCTCTGCTAAACTAAACCCAGATTTCCAAAATGTACAGTGAGAGTCAGTTAAATCAGAGGACTTGAGAGGGCAGCACAAGTGACAGCTTTTGCTAAGGAGATGAAGTGCTCTTTGTCAGAGTGAGGTTACTGTTAAGGCTTGGCTGCGCTACTGCGGCAAGCCTTAACTGAATTACAATAATTCAGGTATGTGAATAACATAGCTGTAGTCAACATAGCTTAGGTTAACTTACCATGGTATCTTTGGTGCACTGTATTAACGGGAGACTCTCTCTGGTCAACTCTTCTCTATCTTTGGTGCACTGTATTAACGGGAGACTCTCTCTGGTCAACTTAGTTTACTCTTCTCTGAGAGGTGAAGCACTGAGGTGCTCTGCCATCCATTTAGTGTGTCTTTACTAGTCCTGCTAAATCATCAACTGCTGCATCGATTACAGCAGCATCGATCTCATCGGTAATAAAGACAAGCCCTTAGTGCAGAGTAGCTTCTAAGTGCTGCACATTCCTTGCAGGGCAGGAGGAGACTTCACAGGCTTCCCTCTGCTCCCTGGGAGAAGTCTTTTGCTCCCTGCCCTCCAGCATGTGGCGCTCAAAGTCAACCGCTAGTGTTGACTCTGAGCGCTGTGCGCTCTCCTATACCTAGGCCCTGATTGGCCTGGGGGCAGGAGAGTAACAGGACCTCTGAGGGCAAGATGAACCAGCTTGATAGGCCGGATCTGGCCCCCGGAGGCCCTTTTGCCCACCCCTGCTCTACAGCTTGAGCTAAAAGCCAGCTGATTTTCAGCTAAGCGTGTACCACACTCATTCTTTCTCTCTGTAAGTGGTGCCACTAGATGGGACAGTGAACTACACCCAGCAGGTATGGGGATTGCACTTCTAGGATTTGAATTCAACACATTATTTTATACAACAATAGAAAATGTAATTGAACAACAAATTGACCCTCAGGACCTGACCAGTGCCAAACCAGAGAATTTGCCAGACCACAGGAAGTCAATATTGTCTAGCATCATTATAAACACTTCCACTGCTTACTGGGCTCTTAGAAGATATTTAAGGGGTAAATTAGAGCTAAATAACAGCACAGAACACTGAGAGCTAGGACTGGTGGCTCTAAACAAACTTTATGGAACCACAGGAAACTTGGCCATACCCATGATAAGTGGACATCTGGATAACTAAATCATGCTAAAATAGAGAGGTTCAACCTGTAGGGACATATTTCCTTCTTCAAAATCCTTCTTATCTTCAAAGTACAGCTTCAAGGTTCTAAAACCCACATGCTTTCTACAGCCTGCATTAAAAAAAAAGTGTAGGTCAAGTTTTTCCTAGGGCTATAGATTTTGAATACGATGGAGATGAATGAGTAAGCAGTCATTTTCTGTTTTGATCCTGAAATTCAGTATTGTACTCTTTTATACAGCACCACAAAAAATTATTTTAAAAAGGAAATTTGGACTGCATGCTTTTTGAAAGAATTCAATGGCAAAATGAAGCAGCGATTGATCTCCACCCCCTTTTTTGTTAAACAGAAACACCCTTAATATTCCTAACACGCACCAGGCTCTGCTCCAAAAATATTTTACTTATGAGTAATTGGGGGAAATGTGCTTTTCCTCTGTGGCACAATTCCTGCGCATTTTACTTATATGACTCATCAGATGATTCAGAATGAGTTTGGAAAGCAGCCTAGAATAGGGATCATTGAACAACTGCATTTCTATTTTGCTGTGAAGCATATGCCATCACAGTGCATGTGTTGCAAGATAATTAAATATGTATTAATCTATTTCATATCATCAGTATGCTTTATTACTTATTTATACTTTTTTCTTTTAAAGCTTCATTTTAATATAGGAAGTCTGATAGATACAGGATTTCTTAATGTTATACCAGTACTGTGTGTAACAGTATAAATCCATACTTTTGGGAGATTTCCAAGTTAATAATTATATTTGCTAGTGTTACTTTATGTGTATTTGTGCCAAGTGGTCAGTCGATCAATATTTTAACGTAATCTGTGCATTCCTCTTGCATCAGAAAAACCCAAGGAAAACATTTACAAAGAGATGAAAAGTCTTATATGCACTGACTTCTGCCCTCTACTGAATGGTAAGTATTACAACCGTTCATAGGTATCAGTCGGGTGGTTGTGTTAGTCTGTAACAGCAAAAACAATGAGGAGTTCCCTGATACCTTAATATTAACCCATTTCTTTCAGCATAAGCTTTTGTGACCAAAAACCCACTTCGTCAGATGCATTGGATCATGTTCATCAGCCGTCTGTTTGCTCTCACTCCTGGAGCAAGATTCCTTAATGCACCAAGGAACAACTTGTATTTCTGCAGCCTTTGGTCACAACTTCTAACCTCGAGGCCACGTAGAGGAATTTGACTAACACCTGTAATTTCTTATATGACCATGGATTAGGCTTCTGTTTCCCAACGAAATCAAGGGGTAGAACAAGATACACTAAAAGCCCCAAAGTTAACAACATCATCATTGGTGGCTCAATGCATTTTCATTGTGACATGTGATCCTGGATTATTATCCATTATTCACAACTATGGAAAATTTCATAGAGACATCATTTTGATAAAAGGATATGAGAGTTATATTTCCATCTGAAGGAATCGGACTTTGTTTTGCTGTATATGTTGTGTCAAGTCAGACACTGTTCTTCTTTGCTATATTCCATCTTAGAGTCTCATCCAGAACCCACTGAAATTAATGGAAAGAATCTCTTATTAACTTCAGCAGGTTTTGGATCAGATCCCTAGTGAAAATAAATGCTAATATAATGTAATCCCATAAAGGCAATATAGAACATATTTTATAAAAATAAATCTGGAAAACTCTTGATTTATTTTATGGTATGTAAATATATGGTGTGTAAATATATATTTATTTATGACATGTTAAGCTACCCAATTTAAATCAGAAAAACAGGAATACAATATATTGTGCTACTGATAGCTCATAGTAGGCAAGCTACCTTCTTGTATTTTCCGATCTAAAAATGTCTCTAAGCCATTATCTAGCCAAATGCAATTTTAAATGAATGAGAGGGAAATCTTCACTATCTGGTATTAGAAGGTAGCCATGTTGTTCTAGATCTGCAAAAACAACACAGATTCCTGTGCTATCTCAAAGACTAAAAGATTTACTTGGACATAAGCTTTCACATACAAAGACTCACTTGACAAAGTGGGATGAAGTGAGGCTTTGCCCATGAAATCTTACGTCTGGGTCTTTGCCCATGAAAGCTTTTGCCCAAAGAAATCAGTTAGTCTTTAAGGTGCCACAGGACTCCTCCTTCACTATCAGAGTTAATTAACTGCAGATACAGTTAAAAATGTGCACCAGAGAGTGAGGAATTGTAGTAAGAGGCTGGAATTATGATCAAATACATTTAATTTTCAAATTCAGCTGTAGCTATGATAAACATTCACTGTATTTAAGAGTCTGTATAAAGAACTGACATTTAACTAGACAAGAATGTCACATAGCTCTTACACCACCAGTGGTTTCAGTGGGATAGGCATAATTTAAAGCAAGTCTTAGTGTTCCCTTGTTCAAGAATCACTTGAGTGAAGCACTGGTTTCAGTGGTGGGTTAATGCATGGGCTCATGGGGCCCTTGCCCAGGGGCTCGCGCCAACCTGGGAGCCTCCAAGAGCTGCGGATCCTGTGTGGAAGTAGGGTGGACACAGGTGCTGGAATTGTCGTCCTGTTTCCTTCTCCTCCTTTTTTCCCCAAAGCCCTACTGCCTGGCCAGGCTGGAAGCTGGACCTGGGCCATGGTAACAGCTACTCAGGGAGCCCAAGTCACTGTGGGAAGCCTTTGATCCTCCACCTGCCCTAGGCAGGGCAGGCAGAGAGTCCAAGGCTCCTCATAGCAGCCTGGGCTCCTTGGAGGCTCTAATACAGTCCAGATCTGGCTTCTGACCTGGCCAGGAGATGGGCTTCAGGGAAGAGAGGAGCAGGGGTTTGTGAGAGGCCCAAATGTTCTTTATGCCCAGCGCCCCAATAAATCTTAATCCACCTCTGACTGACTTCAATATCCTAAACTTTGCCCAATACCTTCAGATTCCAAATCTTTCTCAGGTTCCCAACAACAAAGTACAGAGTGTTTTATTCTGATGGTGAGATGATTAATTACCTTGCTTGTTTCTTTCAGAATGCAACAAAGATCATGCTGACCTTCTTCTCCCATATCTGTCGTTCTGCTCTATTTTATATATCATTCTTGTTTTCTGCCTTTGTGACAGTTATATTGTCATGGGCTGGAGTTTACAAAATCAGAGGCTAGGGCTAATAAAGTGTCCTTTTGCTATTTTGTAATGGGCAGCCTGTGACATTTTAGGGATCATAATGAGGAATAAAATAGCCACGTGAGTCCCTGAATTAACTACTTATGTACTATCTGTTTTTATGTCAATTTCTTCTGCCTGCTGCTCTGTAACATGGGATGCATGTCGACACTAGGAAATTATTTCAAAATAACTTATTTGAAATAAAAAACAGGACTATGTAGCACTTTAAAGACTAACAAGATGGTTTATTAGGTGATGAGCTTTCGTGGGCTAGACCCACTTCCTCAGATCAAATAGTGGAAGAAAATTGGCATGACCATATACACCAAAGGGATACAATCAAAAAAATGAACACATATGAAAAGGACAAATCAAATTTCAGAACAGAAAGAGGATGAGGGGGGAGGTAAATGTCTGTGAGCTAATGATATTAGAGGTGATAATTGGGGAAGCTATCTTTGTAATGGGTAAGGTAATTAGTGTCTTTGTTAAGACCTAGATGTAAAGTGTCAAATTTAAGCATGAATGATAGTTCAGAGGATTCTCTTTCAAGCCTGGTGTTAAAATGTCTTTGAAGCAAGATGCAGGTAATCAAGTCGTTGAGACAATGCCCTTTCTGCTTGAAATGGCAAGAAACTGTTTTTTCTTTGTGATCCTGTCTAATATCTGTTTTGTGGGCATTGATTCTTTGGCGAAGTGTCTGAGACGTTTGTCCAATGTACATAGCAGAAAAGTGTCCGTCTGCTATGTACATTGGACAAACGTCTCAGACACTTCGCCAAAGAATCAATGCCCACAAAACAGATATTAGACAGGATCACAAAGAAAAAACAGTTTCTTGCCATTTCAACCAGAAAGGGCATTGTCTCAATGACTTGATTACCTGCATTCTGCTTCAAAGACATTTTAACACCAGACTTGAAAGAGAATCCTCTGAACAGTCATTCATGATTAAATTTGACACTTTATACCTAGGTCTTAACAAAGACACTAATTACTTTACCCATTACAAAGATAGCTTCCCCAATTATCACCTCTAATATCATTAGCTCACGGACATTTACCATTCCCCCCTCATCCCCCTTCTGTTTTGAAATTTGATTCGTCCTTTTCATATGTGTTCATTTTTTTGATTGTATCCCTTTGTTATATATGGTCATGCCAATTTTCTTCCACTATTTGATCTGAGGAAGTGGGTCTGGCCCATGAAAGCTCATCACCTAATAAACCATCTTGTTAGTCTTTAAAGTGCTACATAGTCCTGTTTTTTGTTTCAGCTAGACCAGACTAACACGGCTACATTTCTATCACTAGTTATACCAGGGATTCATTTGCTTTTCATATAAATTCATAAGAAAAATGAATGGCAAGAAAACCCTTTTTTTTTAAAGTGTGTAATGGGTGCTGATAGTTTTGAGAACTGTCTGGTTTCATATCACTGCATCCGATCACTGCTATCATTTCACTTCACATCACATCACACCCGTTTCATATCGCTATAGTACAACCAGCTTCTACATTTCTAGCACCTCAGCATATGTGCAAGAAAAAGCTTGAAGGAGCATAATTTATTATAATACCATCCTTTATGCTTGTTTTGTCCTTCACTGAAATGACTGTGGTGATCCTGATGTCCTCAGAGATCTAACAACTGGCAAGCATAGAAAATGAAAGCTAATATCTGGCATATAGCATTAGATACACAGCTGTACTGTATGTGTGCCAGGGTAAATTTGTCTGCAGTACACATGGTATTCCAGTTGCCTAACTTCTAGTAAGGTCAGAGGGAAATGGCTGTATAAACTTTTTTTTACTTAAGCTTCCATGTCATAAGAAAAAGTGCGTTGTCAGTGCAAGCAGTTTTAGTTAAAAATATGTTCAAATACTACTCTGCATATGTATCCCATGTGTTACCATTTTGGATTCTTTGTAAAGTGTCCCTTTCTCATTTTGATATGAGAAATACATTCAAAGTTTTTAATCACATATGTTATACTAGGAGACTTACCCAGCATTGGCTGGCTTCTTCAAGGCAGGGGGTGGTAATGTGGGGGTACAGGAGTCAGGACAGGGAATGTAGGGGAGGGAGGGCAAGGGATAGGGTTGTGGGGGGATACAGGACTCAGGGATTGAGAGGCTCAGGGTAAGAGACTGGGGATGGGTACAGGGTGCGAGAGTGAGTTGGAGGGTGAGGAGGGGCTCATCTGGTGGGGCTTCCCCCTCAGCCAACAGAGACCTTTCTCCTCCCAGACCTCATGGCCAGAAAAGGCCTTCTCCCCCTTCCCATCCTCCCCTGCCCTCTCCCGCCCAGCAGATGGGGGCCTTCTGTCCCCCCCAGCCAATAGGAGCCTTTACTCTCCCTCCAGCCCCCTCCATCTGGCAGGGGCCTTTCCTCTCCCTGCCCCCTCCAGTGCTGCAGCCAAGGGTTTTGGGCAGGGAGGCTACTTACCTGGTCTGATGGCAGGCAAGATGGTGAGCCCCAGCTAACCACTGTCTTGATGGTGTGGTTGTGCCCAGTTGTCACTGCAATATAGCTCTCCCTGTGCTCACTGTCCTCAGTGACCACTCTCAGTATTGCATCCCTCCTCTCTGTGCCCCCTCCAATTCCATATTATGGAAAACAGTCCCATTCTCAGTACTTCCCATTTTCCTGGCACAGCCAAACCCTGGCCTTGCTTAAAGTTAGAATAAGAGGAAGGTGCCTACCAAATTTGGTGGTCTTAGTTATTACCATTTAGGATGAGGTCTTAAACAAACAGGCTCACAGACAGACAAACAGATGCACATTTCTAAAATATATAGATAGGTCTGTGGATGATTTAATTACAAAGGAAATGGAAGGGAAAACACTAGGTTTGTTCTTTATAATTCCTTCTGGGATTTGATTACATTATTTTTATTCATACTTCCTGATGCAAGCACCCTTATCTTATTTATGCTAATGGTAGATGCAATCACATGAAGATTACTAACATTTTGAAACATTAAACTGGAGATAAAGATTAGCAAAATGGTAGATGTTGGATTCAGCAAACCAAATTATTTCCAGATAATTCAGTATCTAATTATAGTTTATGCATTTTCATATTTCTTATCTGAATGGTGTTAATATCCTTGGGTATACAACTCACTGCAGGAGTTGTGGCGAGAAATTGAGGGATGGATATAACCCCCTGTTGTTGCTTTGATGGAACACACAGCTCAAAACAGGTGTTTTGATAACTGTAGGTTAAGAAGTTAATCTAGCTCTTGCCTTTGAAAGATAAAAAAGAAAAACAAAGGTTGAAGTAATTAACTCCAGTAATTATCAAAGGTGAATGATTATTTTAAAATGTGGCTATGATGGTGCTGCTTGTAAATATATTTGGTATTTTAAAACTACCATTAATGTTATCAGGGCTGAATTAACTCTTCTGGAGGCCTGGGGCTATTAGATTTTATAGGAAGCCTTAGACTCTGGGGTAGGGCCAAATGAGGGCTTCAGAGTGCAGCAGGGGGGCTGCGGGTTCAGGCAGAGGGTTGAGGTATGGCAGGGGGAGCAGGCTCTGGACGGAGATACAGGCTCTGAGGTGAAGTTGAGGATGAGGTGTTTGGGTTGCGGGGGGTAGGGCGGGGGAGGACTCCAGGCTGGGGTCAAGATGTTTGGAGTGTGGGAGGGCCTCAGGGCAAGGGAATGGGGTGAGGATGTGAGATCTGAGTGGGATTTAAGATGCAGGAGGGGTTCATGGCTGGGGCAGGGGTTAGGGTGCAGATCACTTACATGGGAAACCCCCCCTTTGGTGGCACAGGCCCTGGGAGGGAGGGGAAGTTGTCTGCGCACAGCCCTGGGCTCATCTCATGGCCAATGGAAGTTGTTGGGCAGCAGAGCCTGCAAGCAAGGGAAGCTTGTGGACAGAACTTCCCAGCACTTGCAGCTGCAGCCAGGGGTGGGGCAATGGCAGTGTGCCGCATCATGAGCCCCTTCCTCTCCCATCCAAGTGGGATCAGAACAACAGGGGCGTTAGTGGCTGCAACCCAGGGCCCTAAAGGTGCCCTTCAAAAAGATCTGCATTTTTGGCAGCCCAGAGATCTTTTTGAGGAGTCCCCCTTAGCCTGTGGCCCTGGGCTGCAGCCCCTAAACCCCTTTCTTAATCTGACCCTGAATGTTATAAACATGTAAATACACATAAGAGAAACAGGAATACTTACTGCTACATGCTAGTGCAGTTTAACAAGCTGTCCTAAAGTCTGATTAGTATGTGATAGCTAAAGCTGAAATTTACACCATACGATGCCACCTCGAGTTTCTATGTACAGTATCTTATACTGGCTGGTCCCCAGCATGTGCAGTTTTTAAATAACTCATTCCCATGACCTTTGCAGCTCACCAACTTCTGCAACAGAGACAAAAACTTCAGAAAATGGTTACATTTGTATTATTTTATAGCTTACATGTAAAACTTGAATGTAATGAGTTGCTTCACCAAAACAAAAAGGCTGCCAAACACTAAACTCAGGTAATTGTAGGAATTAAAGGCCTTTTGGAGGTGCACAAGTTAGTGAGAAGGAGGTGCCAAAAACTTTCAATGTTTATTAATT